GCCTGAAAAGCAAATCCCAAGTCTAGTCATGGCAACTAAAAGAAAAATAAGAAACCAAGATGGATGCTTTTGGAAGCCCTCATCAAGAAACTCTGATTTTAAGCCAGGCATTGTGGCACATGCCTTTAATCCCAGCAGGAGGCAGAGGCGGGCAGATCTCTGCCTAGTCTACATATCACGTTCTAGGTCATCTGGGGCTACTGTCTCAAAAACACCAAAAAACCCCCCAAAGCTCTTGATTTGAAAACTCACCCTGTTCTGACTTCTCCTGATTCCCTGCCTAGAATCTGTGCCTAACTACTCTTGCTTTTACTTCTTCCACTGATATCTATCCTCCTCATAATGATGAATATTTCATGCCTTTAAAAAAACATTTTTTTGGGGGGCTCTTTTTGAGACAGGATCTCCCTGTAGTTCCAGCTGGCCTGGAACTGACTATGTAGACCAGGCTGGTCTTAAACTCACAGAGATCTGCCTGCCTCTGCCTCCTGCTGGGATTAAAGGTGTGCACCACCATGCCCGGTGCCTTTTAAATTTTTTCAGGACAGACTCAATGAGATGACCTGACAGTCAGTGAACCAGGTGCTCTTAACCAAATTCCCTCAGGTCTCCTACCACTGCCTGCCCACCTGACCCCACATTTCAGACCAATGTTCCAGCCTTTGGAGACCACCCCTCTTTGCCTAGGTCCCTGTCCATCAGGAAGTAGCTGAAGACAGACCACTGTTGCCCCTTATCAACAAAAGGCTGGAATGGTAGGTTCCTGGCAGGCTAAAATGGCTGTGCAGCTCCCAACATTCTAAAATGGTAGGTTCGAACTTAGCCCTTGGAAAGTCCCTCTGCTTATTGGGAGACAACCAATCCTGAACTAAACTGCCCAGCCTATGTCATGAAAAGTTACCCAAGTACCTATAAAAGATGTCTGACCTTCCTGCTGGTTGATGTTTCTCTGCTCCCTGAGAGGCAGCCCAGTGGCCTATTTGCTCTCAAAGAAAATGCTGTCCCCCGACCTAAGAAAAAAAAGCTTTGGAGCACAGCCAGACTCTGGCATAGTGGTTATCCTGTTATCCTATCACTTGGGAGGCTCAGAAAATAAAATGGCTTAAAGGCCAGGAATTCCAGGCCAGTCTCAGCAACAGAGTCGGACCCCCAACTCCAAAATGTAAAGAAATGCCAGGCGTGGTGGTGCAAGCTTGTAGTCCCAGCACTTGGGAGGCAGAGGCAGGTGGATCTCTGCGAGTTCAAGGCCAGCCTGGTCTACATAGTGCATTCCAGGGCAGCTGGGGCTACAGGGAGACCCTGACTCAAAAAGACAGAAAAAAAAAAAAAAAAAAAAAAAATTAAAGAATTACCAGATTACAGAGCACTGCCAGTTCCCAATTCTTGACCCGTCCCAAAATGAATGCTTATATGGGTGGAACAGTTGCACGTGTGTGTGCATCCACGAACATGTGAGCCATAGGAAAATATAGCATGTTCTGCTATCTCCACTGGCATTTCCATGTACACACATGTGCAGATACAATGAGACAGATACACACACAAAAAGGAAAACAGGGGTGCAGAGCTAGCTTGGTGGTTAAGAGAATTGTCTGCTTTTCCAGCACACTCAGATTCAGTTCCCATCACCAACATGGTGAAAGGAGAGAACTGCGTCACACAGGTTATCCTCTGACCTCCGCACATGTGTATCACATGGCACATGAATATATACATACAATAATTTTTTTTTTTTTTTGGTCTTTTTGAGACCAGGCTGGCCGTGAACTCACAGAGATCCGCCTGCCGAGTGCTGGGATTAAAGGCGTGTGCCACCACACCTGGCTACATACAATAAATTTTTTTAAAAAGGCCAGGAGCCAGGCGTGGTGGCACATGCCTTTAATCCCAGCACTCGGGAGGCAGAGGCAGGCAGTTCTCTGTGAGCTCAAGGCCAGCCCGGTCTACATAGTTCCAGGACAGCTGGAGCTACAGGGAGACCCTGCCTCAAAAAGACCGGGGGGGGGGAAAAAAAAAAAAAAAAAAAAAAAAGGCCATGGTGGCTGGATCTGAACTCACAAAGATCCACCTGCCTCTGCCTCCACACTCAACCTTTAAAAATTTTGTCACAAGCCCAGTATGGTGTCCCATGCCTTTAAGTCCCAGTGCTCAAGAGGCAGAGACAGGAGGATCTGAGAGGCCAGCCTGGTCTACACAGGCCAGCTGGGGCTACAGGGAGACCCAGTCTCAAAAAACAAAAACAACAAAACAAAAACAAAAGACTAAAACCAACTAACCTTCATGTGGCAGCACATACGAGTAAGCATTTGGAAGGCCGAGACAGAAAGACTGAAAGATTGCCAGGCGCTCAAGGCTAGCCTGGGCTACATGAACACCAGACCAGCCAGGAAAATATAGCAAGATCCTGTCAAAAAAAAAAGGTGGTGGTGGTGGTGGGGCCTCACAGGCTGGAGAGATGGTTCAATGGTTAAGAGCACTGGCTGCTCTTGCTAACAACCATCTGTAACTTCAGTTTCAGAGATTCCAAAATCCTCTTCTGGCCTCAGTGGGCACTGCATTCACATAGTGCACTTACATACACGCAAGCAAAACACTGATATACACAAATATTTTAGAAAATGAAAAAGGAAAAAGCAGTCAGGAGTCAAGGGCCATACCTATAATCTCAGGACTTGAGAACTAAGGAAGGATTGCTCAAAGACTGAGGCTAGCCAGGGCTACCAAGTGAGACACTGTCTTGAAAGAGAGGAAAGAGGTGAGGCAGGGTAGAACACCCATATAATCACAGCACTTAAGAGGCAGAGGTAAGAGAGTCAGGCCTTTAAAGCCAGCCTTTGCTACACAGCAAATTCTAAACTAGTCTATGCTACATCATGCAAACCTACCTGAAAGAAACAAAGTACCAAGCCGGGTGTGGTGCTTTAATCCCAGCACTTGGAAGGCAGAGGCAGGCAGATCTCTGAGTTCAAGGCCAGACTGGTCTACATAGTTGAGTTCCTGGCCAGCTTAGCTGGGGTTACAGGGAGACCCTATCTCAAAAAGATTTTAAAAAAATTAAAAAGAAAGAAAGAAACAAAGTACCATACCCCCCCACCCCAGAAGAAAAAAGAAAGATAAACAAAATGCATAGAAGAGCTGCAGAGAAGCGTTGACAGTTAAGAGCACTACCTGCTCTTCCAGAGGATCCGAGTTCAGTTCCCAGCACCCAAGGAACACCCAGGCAGGGGCACTCAGTGTTCAATGATGGCTTCAGGGGTGGGAGACAACTGACAGCAAGCTGTCCCCTCAGCCTATGAAGAGTGCTACAGTTGTTTCTACACCATTTCCCCTGCCCAACCATCCAGGCTGCAGGGGCCTCCCTCAGTGCAGCTTTAATTCTTATCATTTGCTTAACTTTATTTTTGAAACAGGGTCTCCCTATAGCCCAGCTGGCTGGGAACTCACTATGTGGATCAGGCTGGCCTCCATCTTACAGAGATGGGAGTTTGAAGCCAGATTGGTCTACTTAGTGAGTTCCAGGCCAGCTGGGGCTACAGAGATGCTGTCTCAAAAAAACCAAAATAAATAAGCACAAATAATAAAAAAAGTATAAAAGTGACTGTGGGCACAAGATTGCCAACAGTATATATGTGGAGGTCAGAGGAAGCTGTCAGAGGACAACTTGAGGGAGTCTGTTTTCTCTTTCCACCACAGGAGTCCTAGAGATTGAACTTCAGTCATCAGGCTTGGTGGCAAGCACACTGCCCTGCTGACCTAGAAATAACCCAGATGCCTTGGTAATGCTAACAGTAACTCTACCCTTGAGCCACATCCCAGCTGGATTGAGAGACTTCATCCCTTGGTCTCCCTGCTCACTGACATACTCCTGACTGTATCCCTCCTACAAACCAATAGAGACGCACACAAGGGGATCAAGGAATGTCCAAGCTATGTGACTCCTAAGTTGGGAGAGGAAGGCACAAAGCTTGACCTGCCTGATTGCTGAGCCCATGTTCTACTCAGGACACTAGACTGACTGCACAGAAGCACAAACACTCAGCAGGGACTCAGTATGTATCTGATGAGAGACAGGGTAACGCTCCCTGAAAAAGTACTTGCTAACTCCAGGATCATAAATACACACATGGAAAAAGAAGAATGAAGGAGCAAATATTTATAATAATACACAAGTGGGCATGGTGGCACAGGCCTTTAATCCCACCACTAGGGAGGCAGAGGCAGGCAGATCACTGAGTTCAAGGCCAGCCTGGTCTACGTACTGAGTTCCAGGCCAGCTGGGGCTACAGGGAGACCCTGTCTCAAAAAGACCAAAAAAAGAAAACCCAAAACAAAACAAAACAAATAGGGTTGGAGAGTTTGCTCAGTGGTTAAGAGCACTTCCTGTTCTTCTTGAGTTCCCAGGACCCATGACTGCAGGCTCACGACAACCTGGAACTCTAGTTCCCATGGAGGTCATGGTGATGCAGACCTTTAGTCCCAGCACTTGGGAGGCAGAGGCAGGTGGATCTTTGTGAGATCAAGGACAACTATAGAATTCTAACCCAGCTGGGGCTACAGGGAGATCCTGTCTCAAAAAAACTCAAAACACAAAAAATAAGTAAGTAAAAATAACAAAATAAACATCTTATGAGCCAGGTAGGGTACCACATACCTGTAACACCAGTAGTTGGGAGGCTGGGGCTGGAGGATGGCATTTGGGGGCTAGCCTGGGCTACCTAGTCTACATCATGGTGAGCAAGTCAGTGTGTCAGTGAGACTCCCCCACCCAATAAGAAGTAAGCAAATGACACAGCTGAGGCCTGGGAGCAAGATTCGTACCCAGAACTATGGACAACTTGGGCTGTCCTCTGAACTGTGACAGCCACTCCACCAGAAAGAAAACCAGAAAGTTAGACCAGGTAGGTGACACCAAAGAGCCCTACATAGAATAGATAGGTACTCTGTCTGGACCTTGCATCTGTGTGCTCAGTGCCTCCCCCCGCATGGGGCCTGGGACCCACCTGGCAGAAGGTAGGGGTATAGACAGCTGACAGAGCCCGGCGCAGAGCTTCCACGTCACTGAAGCCAGGTGGCAGGTGGTCCACGCAGAGGCATCGGGAGTGCAGCAAGGCTGGGGTCAGCTGCCCGGCGTCTGTCCAGTGTACGTAGAGTGTTCGAGGGCCCAGGGGCTTGCCCAGCAGGTCAGACTTGGCCCGGGCGGCCGAATCCTTCTTCATGTACTCTGCAAAGCCATAACCCTTGGAGTGGCCAGTGTGCTCACTGTACACCAGGAAGCAACGCTCCAAACTGCCAAAGGGCCGTACCAGCTCCTCAAACTGTGCCTGTGTCAGGCTGGGCGGCAGGTTGGCCACACACAGGAGGGCGTCAGTGGGCTGCAGCTGCACTGACAGCTCCCGCTCTCGCAGGTGGCTCTGGTGAAAGGCATTGATGGCAGCTTCTGCCTGATCTCCATTCAGCAACGTCACAAAAGCTGTAGGGTATGAGAGGGCATGGGGTCAGAGTAGACCCAACTCCCCTGCCTGGGCCCTCCAAACTGGGTGTGATGATAGAACCTAAGCCACCCAAACATCTCAAGCCCTAGTTGATGCAAACACAAGCCAGAATGCAGCAACTCCACTTGCACTCACACTGGCCAGATGGTACCTTGGGATCGACCAGTATCCATCCCTGCCATCCCTATGTGCCACTTACAATCTAGTGCAGTGCTCACTGTGCACATGGCTCTGTCCTAAGAACTAAGCATCACTCACAAGACAGAAAGAGAGGCTCTGCTAAATAAGATGTCTTCTGACCTCAATAGGTATGCTGTGGCATGCCCATGCCCACACTCACACAGAAAATAAAAACCAAAAAAGGAGAGATGGCTCAGCAATTAAGAGCAGTGGATGCTCTTGCAGAGGATGTGGGTTCGGATCCCAGCACCAACATGATAGCTAATAACTCCAGTTCTAGGGGATCTATGTCTCTTCTGGCCTCTGTGGGCATCGCATAAATACGGTACACTTACATACACGCAGGAACACATACATACATACAATCATAAAAATAAAATGAAGGGGCTGGAGAGATGGCTCAGTGGTTAAGAGCACTGACTGCTCTTGCAGAGAACCCAGGTTCAATTCCCAGCACCCACATGGTGACTACGAACCAGCCTTAACTCTAGTTCCAGGGAAATCTGAAGTCCTCCTCTGACCTCCGCCGCATTACACGACACAGGTGCACTCACATACATGCAGGCAATACACTCATACACATAAAATAAAAATAAATGAAATATTAAAGTGAAACGAAATAAAAATAGGTGTGGTGGTGCACACCTCTAACCTCAGCACTTGAGAGGCAGAGGCAGGCAGATCTCCGAGATTTCCAGGCGAGCCAGGGGTAAAAAACAGCAAGACATTGTTCCAAAAAAATAAATTTAAGGGGCTAGAGAGATGGCTCAGCGGTTAAGAACACTGGGTATTCTTGGAGAGGACCTGGGTTCAGTTCCCAGCACCCACATGGCGCCTAACTCCAATTCAGAGGATCTGATGCCTTCTTCTGGCCTCCATGAGCACATGATGCACTTATATATATTCAGGCAAAATACTTATGCACATAAAATCAAAATAAATAAATAAAAAAAAAACCTGTGTAATGGATACCAGGACAAGGGACTGGCACTCCTTTTGGGTTGTTCTCAGGATGGCAGGGAATGCAGAGCTCATCAGAGGAGACCAGTAACCTTCAGGACTGTCCCCGTCCCCACCTCCTTATTCCCGCCTGTCCTGTGGCCCCACAAACCTGTCCCTTTGTATTTGTCCACGAAGCAGTACTTGAGCTCATAGTCGCTCAGCAGGTCATGGACTTCCTGTAGAGACAGAAACCAGGTCAAGACGTCACCAGCAATTGAAGGGGACATCCAGACATGCCTAGGTTATATTGGTGGATAAATAACTCCATTTCACTTCACATCATCAGCTTAAGGCCATACAGAACAAGGCTGAAGGTTCAATATAGCACAATCCACTCAGATAGCATGCATTAAGGGAGCTTGTTGAACATATCTGCTCCCCACTTGCAAGTTCAGAACAACTTTATAGTTAATACTGACAGAGCCATAGTGTACACCAGGAACCTGAGGTTCCAAAGGATGAAAAAAAAAAAATCTCTCAAGTGCAAGTTGTCAGGCCAACAGCGGGCACAGTACCCAAGGGCACCTTACAAGCCTCAAATGATCCAAGGCTGTGTGGCTGCAGTGCCACCTCACTTCTTCCTGTTCATAGGTCCACTTTTTCTTTTTTTGTGAGACAGGGTCTTCCTGTAGCCAGGAACTCAGTATGTAGACAGGCTGGCCTCGATCTTACAGAGAGATTCGCCTGCCTCTGCCCCTCAGATGCTGGGATTAAAGCTGTGCAACACCGTATCAGGCAGGGCCACCTTTTCACACCTGGCACCCTGTGCTCCTACTGGACCAGATGTGGTGGGTATTTGCAGACACGTGCACACCCTGCACAGAGCAGTCTGTCCCTTATCAACTCCTAACACTCCTGGGGCTCCGATAACAGTGGCAGGTACGTGGGTAAGCCAGTGAGCAATGATTCTTAGTAGCAAGGTATAACAGGCTCTCCCTCCACCACGGGGCAGGGCAGGATAGATTCCACTTTCCTGGGTCCAAAGATCATAACCCGCCCTGCCCCATGTAGATCCCCCCAAAGACAAGAGCACCCCTGGTAGGCAGATTAGCCACAGGAAAGTATCACAAAACATACGATCCCCCTTTAATGTCTGTTGGATGGTGGGAAGAGGCCTCATATTCCCAAATCAATTCTAGTAGGCTTTTTGAAGGAAACTCCAACTTCCGGATCTATCTCTCCAAAGGAGTGAATCCATTGCTTGGTTCAACTATGAAGTTCATACTCCAATCATGAAACTTCTAGATCTGAGCTCCCGCCATCGCATGGCAGAGATGGAAAAGCACCCAGTGGGCACGAATGGGGCCAATATCAACCCAAGTACAGTGCACCCCCATACTTCAGCAAGGCTACATCTGGCCGCCCCCTACTACTTACTACCCGCCCCTTCAATCACCCAGTCTCGCCCAAGCCCAGTGGTCGCCCCTAGCAACATCCGCCCTCAGTCTTTAAGTTGGCTTCTTTTCTTTCCCTTTCCTCACGGTCCCCCTTCTCTCCACTTCGTTCTTGGTTTCTCCCGACCCCCTATCCATCACGAACCCCGCATCCAGCAGCATTGGTTTCGCCCGGGTGGCCCACCCCAGCCCCGTTGCGCACGCGCATAGTGGTATTTCCCGCCACGCTCACATCGCCTCCCCCCCACAATCATACCTGGTTGGTCACGTCCCCCGGGAGGCCTCGGATCAAGATCTTGCGGCGATTACGGAACTGGCGCTCGGTATGTTCCAGACGTTTCCGGATCTCTTCCGGATCGAGAGGCGGCAGGTCTTGTTCGGGCGCCCGGCGATCGGTGGTCTCGGTAGCTTCCGCTTCGGCCTCCGCCTCCGGGCTGAGCGGAGGCCGGTGAGTAACGGACACGTCGGCCGCCATCTTGGGGAACCCGGCGCCTTCTGGGACCAGCGAGCTCAGGGCGGAGCGGCATAGAGCGGCAAGGAGGTCGCGCGCGCTGATTGGTCAGTGGAAGCCACGCCTCTTATCCAGCCCCCTTCGACCTATTGGCTGAAGCCCCAGCCGGCCTTTCCGATGTTCCACCCTGCTCCTAGCGCTCCGCCTAGTCTGTGTCGTTGCGAAGCAGAGAGAGACAGAGACAGAGAGACAGAGAGAGAGCGCGCCTACCCGCAGGCCGGCGTTAAGGCTGTGGGTGGAGTGTCCGCTTGCCACGCGGAGGACTTGAGTTCGATTTCCCTGCAACGCCTAAAAAAAGTGGGTGGAGGCACACTTCTATAATTCCAGCATTTGGGAGGTCGAGGCAGAGATCAGAAATTCAGAGCTGGCTGGGCATGTTGGCACACGCCTTTGATCCCAGCACTCGGGAGGCAGAGGCCGAGGCAAGCGGATTTCTGTGAGATCGAGGTCTGCCTGGTCTATATAGTGAGTTTCAAGCCAGCTGGGGCTGCAGGGAGACTCTTGACTCCAAAAGAAAAACAAAAAACCCAGTGGCCATCCTTAGCCATTAATCCCAGCAGTTTGGAGGTGGAGGCAGAGAGGGATCAGAGTTCAGGGTTGAGACTGGAGAGGTAGCTCAGCTGTTAAGAGCACTGACTGCTCTTGCAGAGGACCTGGGTTCAGTTCCTAGTAACCACATGGCAGCTAACAATCATCTGTAACTCCAGTTCCAAGGGATCCAATGTCCTCTTCTGACCTCTGTGGGCACTGGACCACATGGCACTTATGTACTTGCAAGCTAAATACACTCATAAAATAAAAATATTTTAAAATTTTAAGAATTTCGAGGTCATCCGCCACATAGCAAGCCTGGGCTACATAAGACCCAGTCTCAGAGGTAGAGGAAAATAATCAAGCCATAGGCTTGAAAATTTTGTTAGTATGGAATGGAATTCAGTCCAAGCCTCCATCGACCTTTTAACCTGAAAGCTCAGGACATCTTTTCCGGGACTGGGTTCTCAGCCTGCAGTGGCCTGAGGGGCACTGTAGTACTTGGGTTTTGCATGAGGTAGCTGCCACTTCGTTTCTGCATCCCAAAGACGTATAGTAATGCTGCATTGGTCACCAGGCCTATGATGGCTAACACCCCTATGACAATGCTGACCAACCTGGAACTCTGATCTGTGCAGAAAAGCCCAAGAGTGAGTGAGTAAGTGTGCCCAGGGCTCGTGCTAGGCATGTCCCTCCTGACCCTGCCCGGCCTATCCTCTTACCTTGAACTTTGATCACTATGAACAAGGTGTCTCTGCCCCTTGGGCTGGTTGCCTGGCAGTGATAAGTGCCATTGTGGCTTAAGTTGACAAGGAATGGGGTCCCAATGGATATTTCATGCCTGGAGCCCCCCTGTAAACTGGAACTTTGGGGACAGATTGCCACGGGCCTGGCACTGCAAGACATGACTGGTCCTGTCTTTCCAGGAAGAGTGCTGGGGACATTTGTCACATTTGATCTTGGGACCATCTGTGAAACCACCATGCGACCAGACACCCCAGAATTCCAGAGTGACAGCGAGACAAGGGGAGAAATCAAGGCTTGGCTGGGGACATAGGGATGAGGACTTAAAAGGTCTGAGTGACCAACTCACAAAGGACATGTAGCTGGACAGTGGTATTCCTGTGCAGAATCACTCCGTTCACTTCCAAAGTGGCATTGAAGAAGAACTTGTGACCATCATCCTTGGTGGCCTGGAACTGAAGTTGGGCAGGGTTGCCTGGTGGAGACACAGGAGCGCCTTTCAGAATGACCTGGACTTGGGGCCAAGGTGTGAAAGTCCCGGTGACTATGGACTCCTCTGTGACGTTGGTCTCACTCAAGACTCAGAATGGATGGACTCTAGGAACCCTGGAAGAGAATACAGCACCCAGGAAATTTACTGACCCCATGACCTTCCCATGGCTCAAGCCACTCCTTTCTCCTGCCCCTTTCTCATTGGAGGGTCCAGGCCACACTGTCTTTTTTGTTTCAAGGTGTTTTTTTTTTTTAGTATGTAGCCCTGACTGGCATGAAACTTGCTATGTAGACCAGGCGGGCTTCCATCTCATGGTGATGATGCACCTGCCTCTGCTTCTTGAGTACTGGGATTAAAGTTGTGCGTCCTCATACCAGACCTCAGGCCATGCCTTCTTTTTGGCCAAACCCAATCTGGATCTCTGGTCCCGCTGCAGCCTAGTCTCTGCCCCCATGGTCACACCCCTCAGTCAGCTTCGGCCCTGCCCCACTTACTGAAGACTCACATTCTCCTGGGCCTGCATGCTTCTGCCCCCCAGGCTCATGCTGCAGACAATCTCTCTGACATCTTCCTGATTCTGTCTGTGGCCATGACTCTGGCCCTGAGCGTGTCCCCGTGGCTCAAGACTGTAATGTTGAGCAGTTGGTCCCCCAGTGTCATTTGGACCTGGGCCTCAGAAACTGGGAACAAGCCATCTAGGGTGCAGGACACAGGCCTACATGTCCCCACCTCCAAGAACAGGGGGCTTAGTAGGTATAGAGAAGTCATGGGCAGGACTGTGGATAAGGGAGCACATGATCAGTGGGACCCCCCAACCAGGGTCCTCACTTGCACAGACCCTCTTTCAGTCCAGATCATCCTTCCACTTGCTAGACACACTTGTATGTCCTTTACTTTCTCACACCCTTCCCACCGTCATCCCCCACTCCTGGAGCCACTCCATCCCTTGCCCTGCACCTGCCTTCCCAGAAGCCCCTATGGTCTTAGACACCTCCTGCTCTGCCTCAGCTCAGACCTACCTTCTCTAAGCAAGTCCCTTCCCTTTCCAAAAGTCTGGAGCTGTCTGGGTGCTGAAGTATTCCAGAACAGCTGAAGCCCTGTGGCTGGAGGTCCAGCTCTGTATGGCAGGAGAAATTGGCTCCATGATCCCTTCTGTTCACCAATACAGTGGCTTTGATCTCTGTGAGGTCTCTGGGGTCACCCTTCACTGGTTGCCAGCTCAGCTCCTCAGTCCCACAGAGCAGAACTGCAGTGAGTTGGGCCTGTGGCTCCCCACCTAACACCTGGCAGTGCAGAGTGAGGTTCCTGCCCACAGGATGCCAGGAGGGCAAGGGAACCAGCTCTACATGCTGCAGGAACCCTGTGGAGGAAGGTAGACCCAGACTTAGCTAAACCAAAGGCCCCCATCACAGGAACGGGGAGGAGACAAGGTAATCCAGGAGGAGACAATGTAGTCCCTCTACGCAACTATGAAATTGGGCTTTTTCACATGTTATGGCAGGTTTGCCACCAGGCCACACACCCATGCCCTCACTGGAGGATTCTAGGCAGGGGCTCTATCACTGAGCTATGCCCCCAGTCCCTCACTGGGGGAGTCTAGGCAGGGGTTCCACCACTGAATTACACCCCAACCCCTCACTGGGGTATTCTGGGCAGGGGCTCTACCAATGAGCCATATCCCCCAGGCCCTCACTGGGGGATTCTAGGCACAGCTATATAACTGAGCCACGTCCCCACCCTGTTCCTGTTACTCCAGCAAACCTTCAGAAGGCAGTAGAGAAATTACCTTTCACTCCTGTACTAGGCACCAAGATCAAAGTTTTTGTTTTTGTTTTGACAAACATCCTTCTTTTTATTTTTTTAATTTGGTCTTTTTGAGACAGGGTCTCCCTGTAGCCCCAGCTGTCCTGGAACTCACTATGTGGACCAGGCTGGCCTGGAACTCACAGAGATCTGCCTGCCTCTGCCTCCTGAGTGCTGGGATTAAAGATGTGCACCACAATGCCTGGCCAAACATCCTTCTTTTATTTAAGACCAAACTGCAGCTGGAATACCCAGTACAGTTCTGCTTACTACACTTCAAGAAAGATCTGAAAGTGGAAAAAGAACCAAAGAAGGGCAGTTCAAGCGACCAAAGGGTGGGTGGAAGGTGCTGAGTATGAACACTGTACGACTATTTTGACTCTGGTCTGAAAATAACAGAATTATTGAAAACTACATGGAAATAACGGAAGTCCCTCCAAGTTTGAAAATAAGCATTTTAGGAAAAATAAAAGGAAATTCAACTTTGTACTTGTGGAAACTAACCCCTAAAGATGAACAAATTTATATTGACTCAAGGGCAATAAATCCATGATAAGTTATTGGGACCTAGGATGTCTGAGTATCAAGAAAGACAGCCATAGCCTCTAACGATGCCTGTACTGGTCTGTCTCAAGCTCAATCAGAGGGGAAAAGGTATGGTCCAATATAAACTCCTTCTTGGTTGCTTTCTTAAAAGTCAGTTCCGTTTATGCCATTATTGGCAGGTCTTGGCTTTGTTTATTCCAGTGCCAGTATTTTCTGCTTAACTACTTTGTTGGCATCTGAGTTTATTTATTTGTATACTATATGCGGTTTACATCTTTAACCACCCTTCCCAAGTTAATTCCATTGATACTTGGCATCTACCTGAGAAGGCCCACCGCGTCTCACCTCTTGCTTAGTGTGTTCAGCAGATATTTACTGCACCTTTACTGTGGGCAGAACATTACACTGGATAATCAGAGAGAATAGATAATTTATTTAGTAAATGTCTCCTGCACACAATCTAGTGAATGATTACAATATGGCCTCGCCTTGTTTGAGGTTTATTATGACCATATTTCATACCATTCATATCCTAATGTAGTTACAAGACCCAGTATACTATCAAAGATAAATAATTTTTTGATTGCCATTTAAAAACGATCTAATACTGGCATCCCAGCTCTACAAATAATGAATTTTTGCCACATTTTAAACTATGTAAAAATCTAAAATCTGCAAACAGTATAAGCCTTTATAACACTTTTTTAAAATGTAGTAAAGTACACATAAATGAAGGAGGTACAATGAAGGTTATTTGTATCTGTATTAAATTTCAGCCTGCCCAAAATCACACAGGCTGAAGGTTTAAGATTAGAGTTCATAAATTTTGACTTAATTTTTATTGTTTTTATTTTGAATCAAGTTGGAAACGCTTTTTTCAAGGGGACAATAGAATTGATACAATTGAATTTAGAGCTTATTTCAAGTAAAATTAAAAGCTTTTGTTACAAGATGTAGTTTATTTTATACCTTTACATAATTATTAGCTGCACGAAGATAAAGAATTTTAAGT